AATAAAGTTAAATTTTTCGATCAATGCAATACCCCAATAAATAAATAAATAACCAAATTAAGTATAAATCACGAATAAAACCAGCCAAGAATAATCGTTGTTCAAAAAAAGTCTTAAATGACGCGAGCATTATCGAAAATCCAGACACGAATAAATGAATTAAAAATGATATTCAGTCCGTCCGTCGGTCCGTTAATCTTCGGGGATATATATATCTCAAACGATGAAACTCAACAAACTTTATGAAATTGGGCAGTACAAAATGTTTTCGGTGTGACTGAGTTAACGTGTAAGAGTCAAAGAAAAAGAGTCTTATCAGGAAAAAATGATGCATTATGATATGAAAGAAGAAAAAAAAAGAAGTAAAAACGTGTTTCAGAGTTTTCCGGTTGACAAGAAATTGGTAACAACGATGACCATTAATGACGACAACGATGATGATCAATCAATAATTATACACCACACGCGTGATTAATTTCCGATTTGTCATCAGATATTGCGCAACATGTATGTGTTTGTGTAAAGAGTCTACCGAGCGGAAAATTTGCTTAAATTAGAATTAGAATGAGCAAGAAAAAATAGAAATAATCGACTTTTTGCATAACTAGTTGCGATATCCCTCTTGTCGTGTGATATGATTTATATAAATGTGGTAGGTATGCTAGATTATGTTGATATATTTAATTGTTGATTTATGCAATCCATAAATTGCAGGTAATATGTATATTTCGAAGCGAAGTAGGAAAATAATTAACTAATCGGTTAACTAATTAAAGAAACCAAAAATAAACGGATTTTCCGCACCAACTTTTTTCATTGAGTTTGTTCGTATGTACAACATATTATGTTACTTTTTTATTTTATCATCTTTTAATTTCGTTTGTTTAAAGAGGCCGAGATAACAAAAGAAAAAAAGGATAAATTCCATTAAACTTTAATTACGATTTAATTAATCCGTAATCTTAATTAATTGATTAATCTGTAATTTTATTAAGTTAATCCCTAAATGGACTACCAATTCGTTCATGAACATCCATATTATACATACATAGGCAGGAATACACACTTGTGCATGCATTATCAAAAATGGACATACCAATAATAGAGTTTGGTGAATGGGCAGCAGATGTGGTAATGCTGAAAGTAATATGTGGGTGTTGTTATTCTTTTTTTGTTGATTTTCTTTCTCTTTTGACCAGTTGTTCTTTCAAGTGTAAAGGTGTGCAAGGGATATGTGCACATAACGTTTATTAGCGTACATTACTGTGCATATCTACATGCATATAAATACATATTTTGAAACAAGTTTCTAACATTTTTGACTAACCGAATTATCTAATGTTGCTTGTTGAATAATTGTTTTGATTAAATTAATTACTCCAATTTCCAAAATAATCAAGTTATTACCACCCGACATGACGATTATATAATAAAATTCCGTTTTGTTTTTATTTTGCCTCGATTGTTTTTCATTTAAACGTACCAATCTATCATTTTTATTATTCATCTTCACGCCAGTATCCTAATTAACAAATGACCAAATACTACCATTAATGCACTCACTAACCCAACCAACCAACTAACCAACCAACATACTAAACTAAACCAACCCGAATAAACAATCATTTTCCTACCAGGTAACAAATAAACAGCAATATCTAACATTGCTATTCGTTCCCATTGAGCATTCCGGATGCAGATGTGTGCGTGTGTGCCTCTAAGCACTTGTGTGTACAATATATTTATATATGCGATGCTAGTATGCATGAATCAAATGCATGCAAGTGCGCACGGTTGATTATCCTCTGTGTGAGAGAGCGCATATATATCCTCTTCAAAATAATGTTTTATATCATTCTATTGTGTATATAATATATACGTATATGTATTTATGCACACACCGGATATATATATGTATGTATGTATGTATCGATATGCTTATTGTCATCATATTCATCTTTGTGTTATCGTGTGGTGTATGATATTAATATGTACGAACACGACTGCTAAACATCTGTACACAGGTTTGACATTATCGCTCGCGCGTACAAAACACACACATATATACACAAACTTACCAATTTAAATAGGACTAATACAAATTTAAATAGGACTAACTAATAAAAACCGATTATGCTTTCTATTGCATTACATCTTTACGGTTGGGTGAAACTAATTTAGTTATTCCAATTTTTCAAAAATTAGGGGAAGGCATAATTGGCATGCATGGTTAATCGCACAATCTAACGATATCGATAATGGTCTTCTTCTTTTTTATACGCACAAGACAAGCGAGAGACACCTGCTATAATTAGAAAATACTAGAATCTATCTTTACGGCTTGGCACGATTAAAGAAAAGCAAAAAAGTATTATCCTTATCTGTCAATGAAGACCAATCATGGTTGTTCCAAATAGCACGAAAATCAAGGGTTCTGTTTTAGACTAATATAGTAATTACACTATTCCCGTTATATTCCGGGATCTAAAAAACTAAAATCTGACTAACTTTTAGTAGAAATAGAAATTTTAAACATATCAGAAACACTTATTGGCAACGTTGTCAAACTGGACCACCCTGGACTTATATGGCCCAGTCCAGTAACTTTTTGACCTAATAACGTGACAACATTGCTTATTGGACCAATACTTTTAGATGTGCCGGTAATTGTGATAATAAACTTTATTTTACATGTGGAATCCAGCCTTATAATCATCTCGACCATATTGTTACATACTGTGTAATTATCTGTGATTTTGTCTACATGAGTTTCTTACAACTTAAATCTGTTTTGAGGATAAATGTTGTCTATTTTTAAAATGTTAAACACAAAACGTCCACAAAATCTCTCGAGTTCATATTATCTAACATCCGATGTCGATCACGATGATCAAAACAAACAAAATTTGAAATTTTCTAATTAAAAAATCTACACCATAACATAGGTATATGCGTGTCAAGAAAATGCAGATGTATGAATATTTCAAATGCAATACCGCATTATTAATTCTCGATCTCATTCTTTTACGAATTTAGAGAAAACTGTATTTGAATTTGTGGAAGAATTCTTTTGCAACAAACAATCGTCATTCTCCCACGGAAATGCATGTTAAAAAATCACGTTTAGGTTTGTTATCATGTATCATTATAATATATTTTTGATTGGATAACAATATTTATTACAAAGATTTATCTTTCCATCCGTTCAGTTTATACGTTCTGAAACCTTGTTTATGTTATAAATAACAATATCATTAGTATTATCTATTATCCCGGATATCATTATTCTGTTAATCGAAGCAATCACAAAAAACAGGTTCAAAGAAAATTTATTTTCTAGTTATAGTTGTTGTCATGTTTTTTCTTGTACGCATGCATTTGTATGCTGTTTTCTTCGTTTATTAGTATTATTATTTATTCAGTGCATGCATACTCATAAAAAATGAACATTCGCAAAAGGAAAACTAAGGGTTATTCGTTGCTCATTCTAGAATGAGCTTAATCCCAGCGAGAACAATCGAACGTTGTTGTTCCCTTTTGCTATTGTTACGCGATATTAAAATTGTCTAACCAATAATATATATCACTATAAAAATAGCAATATATTACCAATTCGAAAGTTTTAATTATTGAAATGGGAGTGATAACTTCGAACCAACAGTCACTTTTTGTTATGATGTGGGCGAAACTCGCCAAAACAGTTTTCGACAGCCGCTTTGAAAATCCCAAAGTAGATTGTCAACAGGCATTTAAGCATAAATTTGATATATGACTGCTGAGTTTCGTTCTTTTATCATTGTAGGCTGAAACGTTAAGATTAGGGTTTGCTCGCAGCCTTAGCTCCAACTTTGCCAACTGACTGCTTACATAAAATGTTTTCTAATTAATGCTCGTTATTCTTTGTGGAACTAATGAATCGAAATTGAATTTGGTTGACAATACAATCAGTCTTATCGAAACGCATGAATGAGGCATGATAAATAATGTTGGATGCGATCCGTTCTTGTACACATCATATATTAAAAGAGTTACTGGAATTCATTTGAAACTTTCATAAGAGATTGCTGGCATGAATAAATGCCATCCCATTCAATGATTGATCGTTTTTCCGAACAGCCGACAATTTAGAACAAATCTCTAAACCTAATAATCTATCTGTTCGAATGTGAAAAAATTTTATATAATAAAAATTTTTGAGCATGACCATTATTATTGGAGAACTGTACATATGTTAATATGCTAAAGTGGATTAACGTAATATCAAAGATTTACATGTGCATTGGTTTTATCTATTCAGAATCTTTAATTAAAAGATAAAACAAAATCAACAATGATGTCAGTACATACAGTAATAATTGAAAAGATGTCACTGTATCAAGAGATTCGTTAAATTGTGCCTGATTTCTATATGTGCTTATGTCGTAAGGTACAGTCCGCACGGAATGTAATGGCGGTTAGTTTTTTTAAACTCAAATACGATTTTTAAAGACAACTACAACAAAAAACAAAATTATTACTAGAATGCCTTTAAGCAGGACATCATACTCGAAAAAAATAACGCATGAGACATTTTCCTTTCATGTCAATGCAGGTTTGAAATGCAATTTGTCATGTTAAAAAAATCATAAGAACTATTACTAATAATGTTATTTCAATTTCTTTCACAATTTTTATTTTATAAAATAATTCTTTAGGTTAAACATTTTTTACTATTGGGCTAAGAGTAAAATTTTGCGTAATGATCGACTATCCAAAATTCTGACCAGCACCGGGATATTCAATGGCTAGGAATACATTTCGAAATAGAGGTTCATAGAAATGCTATGTAATTTTTTTTGCACCAGTCATTTTAAAAGGAGGCCAATTATATGGTAAAATTTTTTTGCCATTATTTTCCGTGCGGACTGTATAAATTGGTGATCGTTAAAGCGCACAGTCGCTAAATCACGGTCTCATTGTTCGTTGCTCTTATGATTCAAGAACAGAATCTTTCGTTCACAAGGCGTTACAATCTCAAGGAAATCTTGAATTCATACTTTTCGAACGAGCTTGTGTCTTTACAGAATTGAAGGAAGTCGCTTTAATAGATCAATGGCAGATTAGTCCTTCAGACTGGCTACAGAAATCATATTTGCAATCTTGTGACTTGAATTTATCTGGAAAATTGGTGGGTAAAATTTTAGAAGTTAACATTAAAAAAATGTATAAACTAATATGCCTTATCTCTCATACAAGCCTTAGCATCGATAATTTACGAATCGAGACAATTTTGGTTATCACTTAATTATTGCTGAAGAAAAAGAAACATAACCGTTAAAATAAAATTATCTCTCATGAAATGATATAAAAAAACGAGAAGATATTATGCTACAATATTACTTGAAATTGACGCGTGTGAATCCAAATATGTTTTATAAATTTGACGATAATATAACTATCATTCGAACTTTTCCTTCTGGTGTCCCATAAGTTTGTTATTTATTGTAGATGTATGTGTACAATAGTTTATTGACTTTCAAGATAATTAATTAAAAATTTATCAAAGGAAATAATTCTAATAAAACTTGAATAATTTGATTAATTAAAAAAATACTTCCAAATTTTTCCGATATCATAAAAACGGGTATATGGTATATGTACCTCTACAATATACGATTTAAGTTTTTTGATCGTGTCAAATTATAAAATTGAATATTAAATGTCGAGCAACACTTTATATTTTATTTTTTTATTATGCAAAGCTAAATAATATATCTGGCGGGACAGCTTTTGATTGGTATAAATAATCAACTGTAATTTAGCTTTAATTCGAAAAGTTTGAAATCTATATGTCCCATCTAAAAATCTTACATTTTTTATCAAATGACTTGAAATCTTAATTAATATTTACAGTAAGTCATTTATTTTATTTAATATAATTTTTAATAATAAAAAATTAATTAATTAGTTCTAAATAATACAAATTTTGCTCTGATAAAGTTTCAAAATTTAAAATATATATTTTTTGTAATATATTCTAATTTTAAAATATAAATTTTAAAAAATATATGTTAAATACAACTATTTATTTTGAAATCATAAGATATTCTATTATTTTTCCTAATTAATTATAAGTTATTGCATCAGAGTAAAGAATAATTAATAGTAATTGATTATTAAGAGATATGGTCAATTCTATTTCTTTTCATCACTTACTCTTGAATTATTCATCATAATTTGTAATTTCTGATTATTTTTAATTTCAATTTTTTTTGATATAATAAAGCAAATTTATCACTAGCTCTAGGTTAAAGTAGAAGAGCTTTAATACTTTGAATTATTAATTAGTAATAAAAAATATATTCTGTTTCTTGAAAATTATTATAAATACTTTTTTAAAACTAAAATATGAAAATCCAGTATTATTAAGAAACTCATAACTCTCTTTAGTACTTTTAGATAAAGAATTTTCTTTTATATTAGTACTTGCATTGAACTATTTAATTATTTTATTATTGCAGATATTTGATAATTGATATTTTGTTATAAATTTCATAAAGTCATGATAAACTTTATTTGATTACTTAACTTTTTTATAAATACATATAATTATTAATAATATCATCTAATAATATTCTTTTAGAATCTTTCAAGAGAATTAAGAATAAAACTATAAGATTAGATATTTCTTTTATATTTATAAATGATATTCTTGATTTCAAATTATCTGAATAATTTGAATCTTATAAATAAATAATTAATATATTATAGAAAAATATTAAATAATGATGTATTATATTATTTTAATTTATTATTTTTTCATATTCTGATATTATTATTTTTTTTACTTTCTAATATATTTGAGAAATCTAATAAATAATTAGAAACAATTTTAAGATCTTTCATAATCTGAATTTCTTATAAATAAATAATAAAATAATAGAGAGAATAAAAATAAATTTTTTAGATTAAATTAAAATGACATATTTATTAGAAATATAATATTTAAAAATATAAGAGATCAAAAAATTACAAGAATAATGAATATACTAGAAAAATATTTTTCAAAGTATAGTTTTTTTATATTATTTTTAACTTTTTATATAAGAATTTATCTTAATTAAAATTTATTAATATAATAAGATATACTTTTTACTCTTTAATATATATATATATATATATATTAAGTAATTAAAATCACTTATTTCTATATAACTTACTTTTTAACTATTATTTTTCTAATTATTAATATATTATATATTTTTTAAGACTATCACTAATCAATAAATAAGATTATTTATTTTTATATGATATATTTTCTAATTATTAATATATTATGTATTTTCAAGATTATTATTAATTAATAGGTAAGAATTCTTATTTAAATAACTTATTATAAAATTTATCTTTCTTATTTATATTTTTTATTCAAATTTTATTAAAATAATATTTAAAAAACAAATATAATAATAAACTAATTCTTCAGATAATAATTCTTTTACTAAAATAACATATTTTTAATTTAAAAATATATTTAATCTAATATTAACTATATCAAAATCAATTTCTGATAATTTTTGATTAATATCATTAAATATCATTTAATAGATATTATTAAATATTAATTTTTAACTTTATAGATTATATATAGATTACTACTACTTTTAGTTTATTAAAATCATCTCACTCTTACTAGTTTATCAAGAATATTATTTAAACTATATAATATAAATGAATATATTCAATATGAAAAATACTATAATAAAATTATAATTATAAATTATATTTGTAAAGATAGATTTTATCAAGAATATAATCTATAATAAGTTTTGAGAACTAAAACTGAATTATTTATAAAGGTAAAGAGAACTATAATTATTCTAAAGATTTTTTAGTACTAATACTTATAAAATTAGTTTATAATTATTAAAAATAGTTTTTTCTGATGAAATTAATATGAAAATTAGAAAGTAATTATAATAACCAAGAGTTTGATAACATCTTGAAAAAAAGTTTAACATTAATCATTTGACATCTATCTTTAAAAGTTTGTAATAGTTTGAGAATATTTTATGAAAAGACTATTAATTTTTTGTGATAAATATAAAAAAATAGGAAAAAATAACTATAAATATCTATCTCAAAATCTTAAAAATTTAATTATTTCTATTTTAGAATGCAATTAGAGAATTAATTAGAAGTTATATAATCTTTTAATATGATAAGATGCCATATCCCAAGAAATTTACCTTTTTAAATTTCAGAGTATTATATAGCATCTTCAATCACAATATTCAATTTTTAACTCTTATGTGAATAATATTGATGTCAATACTAAAAAAGCTATTTATCATTTTTGGTATTTATAAAATAGTTTATATTTATAAGAATATTATATATTTTATAAATAACTAAGAATATAAACTTTATAGTTACTTTAGATATTACATTTTTTACTAAAATATAAAAATATAATCTCATATCTAATTTTATTTCCTATAACTATATTAAGAAGTGTTAAGGCAAGGCAAGCTATTTAACTAGTTTAGTCACAATACACCATGTTTGATTGGTAGTACATAATTTAAAAAAATACCACTATTTACATAATAATAATAAAAAAAAATACTTTTGTAAGTAAAAAAAATTCTTGCTAAATAAAATTTGCCTTTCTCTATAATATTATTTCTTTCTATTCTTCCTTCTAACATTATTTTTATTTTTTTATACTTCTTGAAATAATATAATTTATAAATTTCTTGAACATTCTCAAAAATATTAATTATATCTAATACATTGCAATCAGGTATGAACATCCTGGTCTATCAAAATAATGCTTTCTAACTTAATTTATAATTTTTATATTTTTTAACTGGAATTATATATTCTTTAGCTCTTGCTACTTCATATCAAATTTTCATGAGTATTTTTTTAACATCAATAAAGCATTTGAACTTTCTCTTAAAGAATTTGATAAGAAATAGACATTCATTGATAATATATAGACTAGATTTAATAAAAATAAATTATCAAATAGAAGTGAGTGGAAAATATATATATGTAGGCTCTCAAAACTCTAATAATCGAATGAATACAAAGTTGGTGTTCTTCCTAATAAACTTTGAATAACTTGGAAGTATTTCTAATTAAGTATGAGACTAGGATTAAAATTACTTGATTTACAAACAAGATCTGAATCAAAAATTATAAAGATTCTTCTGCTTATTCTTATTCAATTGAAGAAAGTGACATATGAAAATGATCAAGATTTATTAAAGATATAATAGCTAATAAAATTATAAAGGAGTATAAGTCTCTTATGATTACTAGTATAGTCTGAAAATAACTTTTCAAATTACATGAAAACTCTGATATAGAATATCTTAGAATTCAGAAAGTTACAAATATTAAATTAAAATTCATAAATCTGATAATCTTGGATCTCATTAGAGATATCAATTTAAATACTAATATTCAGAATGCATATAAGTTTTTAATTCAAAAAAAAATCATGTTGAGTTCTTTTTTATTCAAATATTATATCAAGGGCTATATTTTGCAAGTTTCATATAATTAGAGAATCTAATATGTTATGGATAATTATTATTGATCAATTTTACTCATAATATCAACAAGCATGATTGGTATTTGTTCATAATTTATATTTAGAATGATTGTGATTGTTAATATGTAAATGTATATTTTTTTACTAGTAATAAAAACAGTATTATAATTATAACAGAATTGAAAATAATTCAAAAATTCACTCTTTGATAGAGATCAAGATATATATTACTTGATCAGAGTAGTGTAGAAGCTAATAGAATTATGGTCACCTTTTCTGATCTCTGTGTAAGAGAGCAAGAATATGATATTCTCCTATATACTATTCATATTATTTGAATATAGATCAAAAATATCTATCATGGACCAACTCTCAATAAAATAATTCAAGTGATGTACAAAAAAACTCAGATTGATTATGAAGTACTTGTTCAGAATATGATAATTACATGTCCTTTACAAGCCAACACCAAGTATATTTTCCAAAATTATTTGAAGAATTCAAAAAAGTGAACACTCTAGATATAGCAATATTCACCTTTTCTCCTTCAAGTAACTTTGATGAATCCTCTCAAGTCCTATCACAGTAAACTCAAAACAAAAACTTCTATTATGCATGATATTATTGATAGGTTAATTTTTTTTTTCTGCTTTTTTTTTGATTTTTTTTTCTCATCATTCATTCTTTATTTTTCCTTTCTATAATTTATTCTTTATTTTCTCCTCTTCTCATTATTTATTCTTTATTATCATCATTCATTCTTTATTATCATTATTCATTCTTTATGTTCACTCCTTCTTATTATTCATTCTTTATTTTTCTCCTCTTCTTATCATTTGTTCTTTATTTTTATCATTTATTTTTTATTTTTGTCTCTTATTATCATTCATTCTTTATTTTCTCTCTTGCTCATCATTTATTCTTTATTATCATCATTTGTTCTTTATTTTTCCCCTCTTCTCATCATTCATTCTTTATTTTTGCTTCTTTTTATCATTTATTCTTTATTTTCCTCCTCTCTTCTTATCATTTATTCTTTATTTTCATCATTTATTCTTTATTTCATTATTCATTCTTTATTTTCATCTTTTATTCTTTATTTTTATCATTCATTCTTTATTTTCATTCCTTCTCATCATTCATTCTTTATTTTCTCCTCTTTTCATTATTCATTCTTTATTTTCTTTTCTTCTCATTATTCATTCTTTATTTTCCCTCCTTTTTTCCTTCTTATCATTTATTCTTTATTTTCTCTCCCCTTTCCCTTATTTTTTACTTGCTCTTTTTTCTTCTTATCATTTTTCTTTTTTTTTCTTTGATTCTTCTCTTTCATTTCCCTTCCTCTCCTCTTTATTATTTTTCTTCTTTGCTTCTTTTTCATTTCTTTAATCTTTGCCCATCTCTTCCTATTTATCATTTTTTTTATTTTGATTTATTTTCACTTCTTTATTATTTTTAGGTACATGCCATATAATCTTGGAACTTGATGAAAAGAAGAAAATAATGACAAAAGAAGCCACCATCAATTTTTATACAAAAATAATATCTATTACTAATGTAGATCTAGCAATTCTTACTAAAATTCATAAATTTTCCTTTCTAATCCAGAAGCTCATTACAAAAAAGACACATGCAATCTCAAAATAATTACAAGAAGAAAAAGATATGCCAAATCTCTTGGTTATAAAGTGTGATTGTAAATTCTTCAATCACTATCTCCTGTCCTGTCATTATATTTTTCATGTATAACTCTATAGTAATGCTAATATTCTGATATCAGAAGTGTGGAGAAGTTTCTAAAAAACTTTTGAGAAAAGTGGCTTGAAGATATACCAGTCTCACGGTTTGGTAAAAATACTCTAATCTCAATCAGAAATGGAGATAGCTATAGAAAAAAATCATTTAATAATGAATAAATTATTTGAAAGAACAAGAGATTGATATTATCATTTAGCAGATCAGAGCAATATAGAAGAAGTGATAAAATTTATTAAAAATTCAGAAGAGACTTTGACACTTGTTTTTTAGTAAGAAATATTTTATTATAATACAAAAAAATAATAATTTTAGTTTTTCTCCTTATTTTTATAATGAAATTCCTATGTTTATGTGAAAATTTTAAGCAAATAATAAAATTTTAAGCAATAATTACTACAAAAATTATATTCAGAACTCATTTTAGTGATGAATTGATAATCAAATTTTACATTATTAAATTAAAACAAGGAGTCACTAATAAGTAGTTGTGAAAAATCATTTTGAGTGATCTGTATTATTTCTTCATTATGTAATTACTATTATCTAACTTTTACTTTCTCTACATAATTATAATATCAAATTTAGCATGCTATATATATAATTAGAATACTTTTTTTAAAAAAATTACCTTTGATTTTGTAACTGTTATTAGTTAGATTTTAATTTACCAATCAAATAGTAAGATCATGTAAATCATGTGTCACTAATCAAATATGGTATAATATGGCTAAATCAGCTAAATAGCTTGTCTTACTTTAATGAATCTTACTATATTAATATATGATCATATATATGATAAAAATTATTCATAATTCTGATTAACATTAAGAAATTAGATAACAATTCAGGCCAAACATGAAAAATTATATCAAGTATATCAAGAAATTAGAAATACTACATAATTTTAGATAATATTAAAATTAAACTAAATTATGTGACTCTAGTATTAAAATTAAATCATATTACAGTAATATATTATTACATAATAAATATAAAAGTTTTAAAGATGGGAACTTATGAGTCATCTCCTATTCCATTCTTTCTTCCTCTTCAACATACTCTTTTATCTTATAAGTGATTCTTAAAGATTTAACATACTATGATGCAAGAATATTATATATCATATCCTTTATCACAAGATCTTTATTATCTTTATTTTTATCAAAAATTATATAAAGCTCATGTCAAACTTTTATCCATTCTAATAAAAAATCTTTTAATTGCTTGCCACTAATGAATAATAGAATTAGTCAAAATAAAAGCAATCTATTTTTTTCTAAATTTTGCAATATATCTTATTAATCTTTTGATAATGTATTCAGAATATGTATCTGATATAAATTTTTCCTAAATTATTTCAAAGACTTCTTTTGTAAATTTTAAGCCAGGTCTAAGATCTATTATATCACTATGACATAAGATAATAAAAGATAATAATATTAAAAAGACTATTAGTTTTTTTTATATTAATCAGAAAAGCACTCAAAAATATTCACATACTCATTATAATAATCTTCAAAAGTTTTTTCCAAATTGATATCATCTATAATTAGTGTTATTCTCTCAACTTTCTCAAGTATTGATTCCATTTCTTTTTAAAAATTATTATCAGATTATAATATAAACTTTAAGTATTTGTTATCAACTTTATCTTAATAACAAAGTGAAACAGAAAAAAAATAATAGATCATGTAACTTCCAATCACATTCTGTCTTTTTGGAGTTCCTGAAGTCTGCTCTTAATATCTTTAAGGTTAGAACAAGAATATCATGTATTTATTATTTATTTATAATATAATTTGAGAATAATAAACTTAATGCTTTGTTTTTTTATTTATAATATAATTCAAGAATAATTTGAACTTTAAGAATAAACTTGCATTTTATTTTTTTATTTATAATGTAACTTAAGAATAATTTAAATATTAAGAATATTCAAATAAAATAAGACTTATTATTATTAAATTCTTACTTTATTTTATTGATAGTTAAAGCTTACTTATTCTTTTCTATTCAACTATCTTCTTGATTGCTTGTTTAATTACTTATAAGATTACTTACTTGATTGTTATTAACTTGTTCACTCTCATTTTCTTGCTTGTCTACTCACTTGCTCTTGCTTGCTTTCTCAGACTTGAGCTAATTACAATTATTGTTATTCAGAAGAAATAGTTAGACTTTGATTTTGGATTGATTAAAGCACTTAAAAGAAATTTTAAAAGCAGAAAAATTACTCACTAATATAAAATATGAAAATAATTCAATGGCAAAGAAAGCTTGAATTACCTGATAGAGATAGAAATATGCATCTGATCAGAAAAGTTCTCATCATACCAGTATAATTATTTACCACCACCAGAAAATCTAAATGATAAATCAAGAACTGAAGTCAAAGAAACTTGTTAATAAAAAGATATAGAATCACCAAGTAATAGTATTGATCAGATTATCAATCACAATTATTATCATTCTGATACCTTTAATAGTTAAAGACTTACTTATTAAAAGAGAAAATATTGATTTAATAAGGAATAAAAAAAATAAATTTCAAAGGTGAAAAATTACTTACCAATATAAAATATGAAGTTAATCTAATGATAAAGAAAGCTTGAATTACCTGATAGAGATGAAAATATATGTTCTGGTCAGAAAAGTTCTCATCATATTGATAATTTCTTGTCATTATCAGAAAATCCAAATAATAAAACAAGAACTGAAGTTAAAAGAATTTGTTAATGAAAAGATAGAACTACTAAATATTTTTTATTAAGTAATAGCATTGGTCAAATTATTAATCATGATTTTAATATCTTTGAAGATTAAAAACTAGCTTGCTGAAAGAGAGAAATATTAGTTTAATAAGAAATGAAAAATAAATTCCAAAGGTAAAAAATTACTTACTAATACAAAATATAAAGATAATCTAATAGCAAAGAAAACTTGAATTATCTGATAGTAATAGAAATATGTATCCAGTCAGAAAAGTTCTTATCATACTGGTAATTATTTATCACTATTAGAAAATTCAAATGATAAATCAAGAACTGAAGTTAAAGAAACTTGTCAATGAAAAGATATAAAATCATCAAGTAATAATATCAATCAGATTATCAATCATGATTTCAATATTTTTGATAATTAAAAACTAGCTTACTGAAAGAGGAAAATATCAGTTTAATAAGAAATGAAAAAAAATTAAATTTCAAAAATGAAAAATTATTTATCAGTATAAATATGAAGATAATTTAATGGTGAAGAAAGCTTGAATTATCTGATAACAATGGAAATATGTATCTAGTCAGAAAAATTCTTATTATACTAGTATAATTATTCACCATCACCAGAAAATCCAAATGATAAATCAAGAATTGAAATCAAAAAAACTTGTTAATGAAAAGATATAGAACTACTAAGTAATAGTATTGATCAGATTATCAGCCACTATTATCATTATTCTGATACCTTTAATAGTTAAATACTTGCTTGTTGAAAGAGAAAATATCAGTTTAATGAGGAATAAAAAAAAATTCCAAAGATGAAAAATTACTCATCAATATAAAATATGAAGTTAATTTAATAATGAAGGAAGCTTGAATTATCTGGTGGAGATAGAAATATACATTCTGATCAGAAAAGTTCTCATCATATCAGTATAATTATTTACCATCACCAGGAAATTCAAACAATAAATCAAAAACTGAAGTTGAAGGAACTTGTCAATGAAAAGATATAAAATTATCAAGTAATAGTATCAATCAGATTATCAATCACAATTATCATTAAAGATAGTGCAGCAAGTATGTAATGCTTATTTGTTACCTATTGTAACATGTTACAATTTCAAAATTTTATAAGTTATAACTAGTTGTAACTAGGTGATGTTTTATTTATTATCATATTACAACAATTAAGAAGTCATCTTTAATTATTATTATTCCAATATCTTTGATAATTAAAAACTTACTTGCTAAAAGAAAAAATATCAGTTTAATGAGAAATGAAAAAAAATAAATTTCAAAGGTAAAAAATTACTTACCAATACAAACATGAAGATATCTAATAATAAAGAAAGCTTGGATTATCTAATAAAAGTTTTTTAATTAACAAATTGATTTTCTGATTTGAATGAAAAATATTTTTGTTTTATTTAAATCAAATAGCTTTTATTCTTTCAAAAAAGAATATTTATATTAAAAATAATGCAGTAAGTATGTGATACTTATTTATCACCTATTATAATATGTTATAACTCTAAAATTTTATAAGTCGCAACTAGTTATAACTAGGTAATGCTTTATTTATCATCATATTACAATAGTTAAGAAGTTATCTTTAATTTGTATTTATATTATATGTATATTGTGACACTTTCTGGATCAATTATTTAAATTTATGTAAATGAATAAGTTACAAATAGAATATAATATATCTTTTTCTAAACTCATACATCTTATCTACAATCATTCTAATACTAAATTTGAATCACCTTTAAAATCAGCAAAATTCATAATTCTTTTCACAATTACTATTAAAAAACTCTATTATAATTAGTAATTGAGAAACTCAAAAAAGATGATTATAAAAAAAAATAATTATGAAAAAAGATAACTATAAAAAAAGATGATTAATCAGAAAAGTTCTCATCATACTGGTATAATTATTCACCATCACCAGAAAATTCAAATGATAAACCAAGAACTAAAGTTAAAGAAACTTGTCAATGAAAAGATATAGAACTACTAAGTAATAATATTAATTAGATTATTAATCATGATTATTATTATTCCAATATCTTTAATGATTAAAGACTTGCTTACTAAAAGAAAAAATACCAGTTTAATGAGAAATGAAAAAAAAATAAATTCCAAAAATGAAAAATTACTCATCAATACAAAATATGAAGTTAATCTAATGGCAAAAGAAGCTTGGATTACCTGATAGAGATGGAAATACATATCCTGATCAGAAAAGTTCTTATCATATTAGTAATTTCTTATCATTATCAGGAAACTCAAATAATAAATCAAGAACTAAAGTTGAAGAAACTTGTCAAAAAAAATATATGAAACAGCGCTAAATAAATCTTGATTTTACATTAAGAAATTAATATCAGTCAGATAATTAACTATAATTATCATCATTCCAATATCTTTGATCATTAAGACTTGCTGAAAAAGAAGATAATTAGATATTATTTCCATTAAGATCTTTATTGATTAATCAAAATGCTTTAATACAAAATATAAAACAAGATCTTTGATTAGAAAAAGCAATGATTATGATTAGAAATAAATTAATAAAATATATTAATTATATCAAATATTTATCTGTTTGTAAATTTATTTTTTCTGTAACTTTTTTGTTAAATAATACTTATAGTATAAATATAGTATCTAATAAACATATTCCTCTTTTCTAATTAAATCTATAAGTAATACTAAATTTACCTAATTATCACTATAATAATATTAATAACTCCTAGAATAAATAAAAATTAGCTTATTTAATAAAATTCTTTATTTTTTACAGATCTTGCTAAATATAATATTTACCTATATTACAATATATAATATAATAATATAATAAGATATGATATAATGCATTAAGAGTAAATAAAATTTTGCTAAAGATCAAACATCATAATCTATATAAGAATTCTATAACCTCATCAGATTACTTTCTAAAAATAAAATAAATAAAATATTAGTTATAAATAATAAAATACCAGTCATAAATAATAAAATATCAGTCATAAATAATGAAATTAATGATATGTTAATAGTATTAGAAATATTTTGCAAGTCAAATAGAAATCCATATCAGATCTGAACAAAAATTCTTTTTCTTAATTATTGGTAATATTGAGAAGAAAAGATGTACTTGATATCAAGATAATAAGTTGATTGGAGAATTTACTTGAGTGAAAGGAAGCCAAACAAAAATCTTTTCCATGTGCAATATATGTGCTAAAAAAAGATGTAAAAATTAAGCTACATCTTCTAATAAAATAGTATTCTCTAACAGTAATATAAAAAATAATCATGAGAATATGGCTGATAATTCAAAAGAGAAATATAATGGACTATTATATGAGATTAAAGATCTGGAGGAAGTAATGATCACACAGTTCTGTGATTGTGAAGCCAAAGATAAAGTTATAAAGTTTTTTGTAAAAGTTGCTTTGAATTCTGATTTTATTAGAGAAATGATCATATATTCTACTAGTATTCAGATTATATTTGATAAGAAAAAAATCTATCAACATATTCTTAATAGTCTTTTTGATTCTCTCAAAAGACTTTTCAAATATTATTAGATGATTAGATATTTCTATTTACACATTAAAAATGGTTAACAAAAGAAATATGCAATATATTATCTTTGTTACAGCTAATAAAGAGAACATTAATTCAAGCAATCAAGAGATTAATTAGTTAAATATATTAGCAAAGCTAAACTTGTGATTTAAAGATTTAATTATAAGGGTTTAATTATGGCCAGGATTGATCTTGATGAAGAATAGATTTTATTGACTATTCAGTATTTTAAAAAATATATATATCTCATACACTATAGATCCAATCTATTA